ATGTTATTCGAAGTTCATAGAACATCTACATCGTGCAAATATGGTCAGTTGATGTCTTGTGTGACTATATGCAGGGATCCCTAAAATTGGATTAACCGCACATGGTTTAGATTCTTAAAATCATTATTTAATGTATATTTCGATTTTTTTCCCATATATTACTATTACTATTAGTGTCAAAAATATTCATGGATCTCTATTGCGGAGCAATGGCTCTTCGAGCCTTCAGATTTTTGCAAAGATATTAACCTTGCTAGCTCTGCTAATGTATACTCGAAAAAGGTAGATCGCAAAAGATCAAAGACCATGAATCAAATGAATATTACTTTTTTCCAATTAATCCTAAAATTCGAATTAGCAGTGATTAGAAATAATTTACTATAATTTAGCACGACTCTAGCATGACTCAACCACATCTAAATCTATATATTTTTGCATGCAAACTCGTTCCATACAACACAAAAACCCCCTAGTGTAGATAATGTATCGATACCTAATATATTTTTATACATCCACTTTAACTTCATACCGGCAGGATCGGTCAGCTCAATAATATGAGTGGCAGATAGAATGTCGAATATACGGAGTGATTTTATCTGAAATATATATCTACCTCAATTTCAACACCGGCTGGATACGTGCATCTCTACAATCAGGACGAACATCAAACTATAATTAAAATTTTCACAAAGAAATGTCATGTAATTTAATCGAATTAGGGTCATTGTGGTTGATCAAATCATAAACTTCTGTGATTGCATTGATCGATTTTAGTTTGTAAACCCAACCCGCAATACATGCAATAAAGAACTAATCCCAATACTTTGTTAGACACTCACACCACCACATACATCATACACATATAAAAAATTAAGCCCGAAGTTGGAAAAATTTAAACGATTAGAACTTCCACAATTACACGATCAATATTATTATCAGATAAATTTAAAATAGGTCTCATCGGAAAAGATCTAACTCGTGATATTTTCACTTTACCAATGCTATCAAAAAGCTTATAGACCTTTTCGATCTCTCTTGCAAAGCATCATCAGTAAACATTTCACTTGATGAAGTTGAAACTTTATTTTTCATGCAAATAATACAAATATAAAAAAGCAACGAAAATAATTGACATATCATAAGAATCAGTAATGTGGTGTAAAAGCTAGGTATTTTGGCTATATAACACAAAAAAATCAACAAAGTTTCCTAACTATTTATCTTAAACTGCTTTTTTTGCTTGAAACCTTGGTCCACTATTCTTTGTCTTCTAGAATACTAGTAATTTGGATTTTTAGGACCCATTGCTCAATATTTTTAAGGGTGGGATCCACTCTTTTGACTGGGCGATCGTTTTTAGAATCTTTATCTCGAGTTGTGTAATTTTGTTGTTTGAATTTGTCATATATTTCATCTGGTACTACAAAGTAAAGTCGAATCTTTGCATTTGAATCATGTATATAGATTGGCATATTATTAATTACTTTGATCAGCTCGGCCTGTTTTATAGGGTGATTTTCAGACACCGTGATTTGTAAAATACTGTCAGGTGTTATAAATAGGTCCACTGCACCAAAATTTTGTTTATCTGGCACAACAACTGTTGTATCTTCATTATACTTTGAGAAATCAGATGCATTTTTTGCATGACCAACTTTTGGCTTACTATGTATAGAAAATTGACCTTTGCATTCACCTTCCAGCTTCCTTATTTCAAATTCCCGGCCTCCAGTACGAAATAGGTGAATTACATAACACTCGAACAAAAATCCCTTTGCGCTGGCCAAATAAGAAACTCGCATGGCTCGTATTTTATCCAAACAATCATCCCATGCCTTTTTCTCTAGTTTTTCCTGAATTTTATCGAATACATAAGGAGAGGCCCATTTGAAATGGTAATTACAATGTGTTTCATCTGGCCATCTGTGGATAATGCGATTGCTTACTTCAGCATGTTGTTTTTCGTCTTCGTTAAAACATTTTATAATTTTATCAAAGTCATCAGTTTCTGAAATAGCCATTTCGATGCGTCCAAAAGCTATGCTCTCAACTTCTTCCCTTTCTGTAGCATTCGGTCTTCCATCTTTTCCAAAATCATCTTCAGTAATCTCTCTTATTGAGGCCTCAACATGTTGGAGTACGTATCTAGGCACACCACCTGCTCTGTAGAAAAGATTAGTCACTATTTTTTCTGGTACCAGTGGAAAAACAAGCTTCCGACAAGATAATAACTCCTCTAATGTCCATGGACCCATATAATATTTCTTCTTGTATCTCTTATCAAATTCTTTAAAGTCCCTTGTCCTAATTCCATTTGGTGATAGGGTGACTACTGTTTTTGCCAGAACTAATTTTGGAGATATGATACCGTCTGCCAGGTACCATGTTGCAGATTTATTGAGTAGATACAAGAAGTCATAATATTTTCCACTAATCATTGTTAAATTCTCAAAGCAGTATAAGTATTCATCATTGAAGGGCTGGAAAATGACAGTGGCATCCTCACATAAAAGTTGTATTAAAACATAAATTAAGAAACATGATTTTCCGATACCTGATGTGCCAGTGATGAGGAACTTATTTATACCACCCTTGCTTGATTTCCTCTTCAATTCGTTGTAAAGGAACTTGTATGATTTTCTCACAAAAAGTACTTCCTTTTCAATCACTGCAAGCTCTCCATCATGTTTAATAACATCATTTTGTTGGTTTTGTTGTATAAGACGTAATTGGTCCTTCTGGTTCTTCACTAAATTACAAATGCTCTCAAACAATGGGTCTGATAAGCGATGTGAGTAAAAAGTAATAATTTGAATATTCATTAGTTACAGGATTCTGAGACTCACTTTACACATTGCAAGAGCTTACCTAATTTTTTCTTTTTGCTAGATTCATTCGACTCAATGAATTGACGTTTCCCTGCACAAAAAAAAAAGTCAATGACACAGCATGATGACAACTATCAAAAATCAAGCCAAGTCATGTGTTACTTGTGTTGACTAATTTTATACGACTCACTTACCAGTATTAACAGGGGGTTCTATGTGTTTTTTGGCCAGGTTTAAGAAGGAAAGAAAAGCACATAATTAAGTGAGTATTGGCACAGAGATGAAAAAAATTAAATTGACTAAATTTTTTACCTTTGTTAATTTGTTTAACCAACTCTGCAATTACTGAAGCTGGTCCATATCGCAGGTTGAATCGTTCATGAGTAAGTAGTAGTTCTTCATTCAAACGAAGAAAGACAATACCAATGACCTTCTCATCATATAATACATTAATATCATTTTCTTCAAGCATTAATTCAGCTCTGTTTCTTTGTAAAAATTCTTTAACATTATCTCGACTCCATCCTTTTACTACTTCAGTTGTTGGGAGATTAGATAGATTATATATAGAAACACTTTCAGAAGAACTTGACATGGTAAAAAGGGTGGCACAAATAGAATGAATTTGGGAAAATTTTTTTTGGGTAATATATATATATAATAAGAAATCAATTGTTGCACAGAATATCGAGTTTTTACAGAAAGTTTCTGTGTTTTTTCTGTAATCCATTTTTAGTATTATTATTATCTAATATACTGAATTCCAGAATTTATTAATAATAATAAAAAATAATTACGGAATTTCCGTATATTTTCCGTATAATATTAATATTAATATTATTATTATTAGTCGTGTGACATTTCGTTTCTCTATTTTCTATATGTGAAAACAAAATTTCTAACTCGTGTAACAAAATGTTTGTTAAAATAACTCTCTACTTTTATAATAAATTTGGATATCGTTATTAAAGTAATATAAAACCACATCATTAAGGCTAGTGGCGAGTAAGATATATACTATATACTATATACTATAATCTATATATAAAAAAATAGCGGGAGAAATATTATTATTTGATTAAACTTGGACATCTTTTTTATATGAAATCGAAGAAAAAAAAGTTACAATTGCAGAGAATAAAGATAAGTTATTCAAGCGAAGCTAGTGACTCTGACATATATCTTTATTACGCTGTTAATGATTTGATCTCTTTTTCCAGGTTTAGAGGATTCATCCATCCGACCCTGATGGACATAGGATCAGAGATTGGTACAGTGGTGTCGAAGACAATGAATTCACGATTTCGCAAATAGTTATTGATAACTCTAGAAGCTTTACGTGGATCTTCTTCTATGTATTGTCTTATAATTCGTGCAATATCTTCTGTTGATCCCCCACCATTGAATAATGCAAGATGAGTTATATTTTCACGAATAATTTTTGGTACTTGAGTGAATTTATGCGAAATATAAATGGCAGAGATATTGCTATGACGTCCTCTATTAAAAAATGGAATGATACGATTTTGGATCGCTGGAGATTCAGTACACAGATCCTCGAAGATAATTACTGTACGTCTTTTTGGATTTTTAAACTGCTTTGGGTCTGGAATTTTATCAGGCGTAAATGCAGTAAATGTAACATCTTCATAATATGGTTTGGAACGATCTGCTATTTTCTTATAAAAATTTCGAACTAACTTCCATTTGGGTTCGTTAATATAATGTCCCACAAGTACTAGATCATTGCAACGTATGAAACGTTCACCGATTTTCTTTTTTCCCTCTTCCAGATCATAGTATTTATCCCCGTTAAAGAGGTTTAACATCATATTGGTCTTACCAGTGTTTGATCTTCCAAAAACCCCCATATAGAAAGGCCACTTTGGAGCATCTTCATCATCTAAAGATTTTTTCGGTGGTTTGATCTCATCGATATTATATACATAAAAATATTTCATTCTGACGGTAACTATATCTTTACGAATTTTTTCCTAAATATATACATAAGTATAAACATGTCGAATCTTGCAGAAGCTCAGATTTACGCCGAGAAACGTGGAGGGAAATGTCACATCCAAACTGGGCCTACAACTTTCTTATTTTCGTGTAATAGAAATCATTTATGGGAGAGACCACTTGAAGTCATTACAAAGAAGTATGCTTGGTGCCCTCTATGTCCTCATTCGAAAGGAGAACGTACCTCGAGGTATATATTCGAAGATCTGTTAGGAAAAGGATTCCCACCATCCCGGCCTAAGTTCTTAGAAGGATTACATCTTGACGGGTATAATAAGGAATTGCAATTGGCGTTTGAATTTAATGGGCAACATCATTTCCAGGTTGTTCCAAAACATTTTCACCCGAATGGCAAGGCTGATTTGGCAAGTCAGCAACTACGTGATCAAAAAAAGCGTGATCTGTGCAAAAAGGAAGGTATATGCCTCATCGAAATACCATATTTTGCAGATATCGAATCTTTTATAAGAGAAGCTTTAAGCAAGAACGGCTACCTCTAAGACTGTTTCAATTGATAATGGTATATTTCGAGGATACACTGGGTTTGAAGACACATGGTTAACAGTTTGATAATGATATTTTTGGATGAATTCGTCTGGCGGGTACTCTAAATTTTCCATATCTACGATTTGCAATTCTTCCATTTTGAATGGTCTACGAGGATTTCTACCCATTAAATGTCTTGTTGATTCAACCGGTTCCTTTTCAAGATAATATAAAACTGGCTGTGGTGGATTTTTTCCAACAACAATTTTTCTGATTCGATAAACACGTAACGAGAAGTATGGATCAGTTGCTCGGTGTGTATGACCACCTTCCAATTCTCCAGGTTTTAATAAGTATCGAACAGTAGTGCCTTTTGGTATTTGCTCTTCGTCTTCCCCAATAGGTCTTTTGGGTTTGATAGATGGTTTAGAGATCACTTCTTTCAACTTCATTGCGTTAGCAGGTGGCATATCTATTAAACATGTCTTTGTATTATTCATACAATCAATAATTACTTGGAGAATTTTATTCCACAATCTTGATCGCTCTCCTGCTGGTAATTTTGAATCTATTGCATATTGGATTTTGTATGCCTTTTTTGCCAACTCTCGCTTAAATGCCTTAACAATTGCTAGGCTTTCAAAACTATAAAGGTCGACAACCCAGATAGGAACATTATGGCGTTCCATTCCTCGAGCAAAGTGTCCAGAAAACTCTTTAGCGCCATCCAGCATTAATAATTTTGGCCATATGAGAGGATCATTTGGATCATTGTATATTTCTTCGATTGCATTCCAAACTTCCAGACTATTTTTCGATGTCAATGACCGTGCACTTTTAAACCGTGTGGAGACGTCTATTACCACTAAAGTATAGAGATATATCTTTCCGCCTTCATAATCATGGGTATGTGCTAACAGATCACACTGATGAACTTTATTAGGAATTTTAATCTTTCCGAATCCCGCTTGAGCTTTGATTTTTTGTGATTGCCGATGAATTTGGTTAACATATTGGTTTTTTAACCACTTTTCGATATCTTGCAGGAAAAAATGGTCATACCCTTCTCTCCAACAAGCCTTTTGTAACTGTTTCGCGTTTGAATAAAAACCAGGTACGTGATAGTAGATTACTCTAAGAACGATTTTTAATTCCTCGTCGGCTTTGATTATAATAGTAGGTACATTCATTGCCATGACCGCAAAATATTATTAATACTATAAACCAAGGCTGAATTTTTTGTCATGAGTTTCAACTTCGATCCCGCCTATTTAGCATTGCTGAAAAGTAATCGCGAACTGAGAAAGGAACTTAATTCTGAGGCAAGTATAAACCAATCGAACGAGAAAAAAATCTGCATTCTCATAAAAGAACTAGAACAATGTAATAGGTCCATTTCGCTTCAGGATACTACAATCATATCCCACGAAAAGGAGATCCAGGAACTCAAATCCCAAGTATCCGATTTGCAAAAACGTCTTCGGTCTGCTCTAAAGGATGTGGATAAAAAAGAGAGTTATGTTCTTGATCTAGAGCAACAGTTGTCTACACTCGAAGAGGAAGTGAACCAGTTAAAAAATAGAATCCGAAAAATTACATCTCGGAAGTATAATAAATCTGTAGGAATCAAAGATTCATTTAACATAGTTGAGATGTCTCAGCCAATTCAACCAGATCCAATTCAACCACCTAGCCCCAATGAACTTAACAATCTTTTCGATACACTTCTGGATGAAAATATACATATTGATGGTTATATTCGAAATCCCCATACTTCGGCTTGGAATCAGAGGGATATTCTAAACAAGATTATTACAGTTAATGAGTCTGCACATCGACTAAAAGAAATTGCTGAATGGGAAAATGATGAAGCACAAACCCAGTATCAGCAATATGGTCAGATGATTGCAGGGTTGAATAATCAAGCAACTCAACTTCAAGCCCAAATTCAGGGAGATGCGCAAATTATCATACAATTGCAAACTCAGCTTGCTACAGCTAATAATAATTTCGATCTTCTTAATCATGCCCATAATTTCCAGACGGGACAATTGCAAATATGTCAAGCTGAATTACAAAATTGGCGTAGGAAGCATGTAAAAAGGAAGGGTAAGCATACCAAACAAAAGGCGAAGCATAAAAAATGGGAAAATAAGGAAAAAGATTCCGGCTAAGAATAATAAATTTAAATCAGCAAATTTTAGCACTTCAAAATAATCTACAAGATATGGCTCAGGCATCACGACAACATATCTATCTAACTATTGCACCGAAACTTGCCCAAATTCCAGTCTATATAGGCCAGGAACCACCGGATGATTACTGCAATAGGATTGCACAACCCATTTCTTATGCCGATACACTTATTACTGATGCTAATACTGCCAATGCAAATACTTTTACAGATGCTCACAAGGCAGATATTTATAAATCGCAAATGGGAGGAAAATATTTACCAGTTCCTGCGCAACATCCAAATGGAACAAATATTGATACTCCAGCACGATTCAGAACTTGGCTCAGATTTAAATATCAGCAAGAAATGGTTGGAACTCAACAAGTCGCAATTCAAAGATTGGCATCCGAATTGTTCATGCCTACTGATACTCCAGAAATATATGAGAATAGAATTCGACCCTTTGTATTAGGAGTGCCTAATAATGATGCCAATGCTTTAGGATTTCTTATGAAACATTTACCTGATGATCTTTTCACTCGAATGAAAGTTGCACAACCCACGGACATTGATGCATTCTTTACTAATCTCAAGAATATGTGGATGGAGCGTAAACCTTCTTCATTTAATTACGGAAGTGCAAATAATATGAATGGGATGGTGTCTCAGGTACCCCAACAAATCGTTCAACAACCCACATTCCAACCGCCTCAGCAAATCGTTCAACAACCCGCATTCCAACCGCCTCAGCAAATTGTTCAACAACCCGTGCTCCAACCTCCCCAGCAAATTGTTCAGCAACCGAAATCTCAACCACGTCAACGAATTACAAATCCTCCAATACATGAATATCAAAATTTCCGTCCAAAAACTGAGAAAGCAAAATACTATGAAGAGTTAAAAAATTACGCGGAATTGGGTCTTGAGACTGAGGATAATAGAGTTTTTGAACCAATGGAAATTGATTATGCAATAGTCAATATTGCTAATAAATTAGATCAACTTGAAGGATTGCCCAGCTCCCTGAATCCGTCAATAAATATGGTCAGAACCCCTAGAGTAAATACTAGACCATTCCAACGTAAATGCGAAATTTGTAAAAAGCTGGGCCACACTTATCATAGTTGTCCCATGATTAAGAATATGATTTCTAATTCTAGGAAAAGAACTGGTCATGTGAATTTCGCTGATGGGTTCTCACAAGATCAATTTGATAATAGCTGTGATACGGAAGAAACCCCAAATGAATCTGCTATTTCTGATCAAGAAGATGATGGTGAATTTGATGATAATGCACTTAATGAAGAATCAAATGTTAATGTATCCAGAATTAAAAAAAAATAGATCGACCTAGAGTACTCATTAAGAAGACATCCGATGAACAATCACAATCCAAAGACAAGAAAGATGCATATTTTTCAGAGGGTAAGGAGAATCAAACCCCTCTTCAAGGATCACAAAATCCCACTTCGACTTTGCTAGAAAGACAAATGCGTGAAATCATTCAAAGTGAGCTTGTAAATTCCACTTTATTAGAGGAGACTATAAATAAAATCTTACGAAATTTTCAGAAACCTAGTACCGCAAATGATACACTCCAACAAGGCAAGACTGAGGATGAAGAAATAATCGAAGATATGGAAATTAACTTTGTTTGGGATAAAGATGTGACAGATGTTCCAATGGTGAGGGGTAAAATCAAACGTCTAGTACTTTCAGCAATTACAGTTGATTCTGGCTCCAATACTTTACTTATGTCTAAGGATATTCCCAAGCGCTTGGGTTTGGAAATTGATAAAAGTGCGGTGTTTTATTTCAAGGGGGCATCCACTGTCCTAACCAAATCTATTGGAATGGTTTATAATGTACCATTAACCCTAGCTCCCAGCTGTGTATTTTATTTAGATTTTGCAGTTATTGAATACGAAAAGTCTATGGTTATATTGAGTAATCCCTTCCTTAAAAAACATGATTGTGCGATGGATTGGGCTAAATCCGAAATGAAGCTTCATTGCAATGGAAAAGATTTCATCATCCCAGTTACTATGCATAGAGTTGAAAATGAGCTTGAGGTACACCATGTTGATGCAATTCCTTCTATTTCTGAAGAGCCAGATACAGAGTTAAAAAAAAACGCATGAGCTATGAGGAGTTAGAAAAATCGCTGTATACTACTCTCAAGTCTAAGGTTGAAATAAATGATCTTTGTGAAAAGTTGCAAATGCATTATGAAAAGCTACTCGAACATATCTCTACCAGAGATAATATTATAGATTAGTAGTAGCTAATAGGTGAGTCATATTTGCTTTATTTTTCTCATCTCTTCTGGATTCTTTTTCATATAATGCGCCCAGATCCTCACTACTTATTTTTTCTGTAGAGTTATTGGTAGGTATTGAATCAGATATATGAGAACGGAGCTCATTATTACATAATACAGATTTAGTCTGAGATTTGGATCTTCTCTTTTTTATTGATGATTCTATAACTGAAGCCTCTATATTTTGTGGTTCATCAGCTGAAAAGCTGACATGGTCAAGATCTTGTTGAAGACATTCAGTATATTCCCATATTTCATATACACGACGAGCACCAATATGAAATTTTTCTGCCATTTTCTTTGATGCATTTGGTATTTTTCCTCTCGAATCTCTGATTTCCTTAATATCAGACTCTGATAATCAGGTCACATTGGATCGATAGAAGGTTTGATGAAGACGAGTAACCATTTTTATGTTATTATATATTTTAGAAAAAAAAAAATATCGATACTTTTCAATACATATCAATATTCATTGAATCTTATTGATATAAAATTAATACTCATTGATATGGTACCAATACTCACCAATACGTATTACTGTTATCACATCTATAAATATCAATGCCTATAGATTTTTTAAAAGATGTTTTTTAATAAAGTACTTATTATTTAATATGACCAATGTGCGTACATTACGAGATATCAATAAAGGTCATCAACTTGGTAGTATGTATGAGGAAGAGCTGGAAAACAAGTTATATACTGCTCTCAAATCTAAAACCGAAGTCAATGATC